TCAGGTCCCCTGGAACGGGGGTTACAGATGGTTGCAAGCCATCATATAGGTGCTGGGAACTAAATCAGGGTTCTCTGCAAGAGCAACAAATGTTTTTATCCACTAAGTCATCTCTCCAACCCTTTTCTCCTAATTTTTAATCTATCTTTAGCTGACAGTTCCTGTTAACCATCTTAACCCTTTATCTTCAGTTTCTCTAGGTAAAGGAATTTATATCTAACACAAACATTTGAAACCACTAGAGAAGAGCCAGGCATGCTGACATACAACAGTAAATGGCAGCACTCAAGAGGCTAAGCCAGAGGATTCTTAAGAGTTCAAGGCCAACCTGGGCTACATAATGAGTTTGAAGCTAGCCAATGTTACAGAGTAAGACAGTCAAAAACAGACAAATAAATAAAGCCACCATAGAAACCACCTATTTAAAGGAGCCCTCAAAGGGTTTAAAGAATCCTTTCATGATATTGATAATTATTCCTACTTTGTATGTTTTATATAAGAATGAGTATCTATTTTTTTTTTTTTTTTGGTTTTTCGAGACAGGGTTTCTCTGTGTAGCTTTGGAGCCTGTCCTGGATCTCGCGCTGTAGACCAGGCTGGCCTCGAACTCACAGAGATCTGCCTGGCTCTGCCTCCCGAGTGCTGGGATTAAAGGCGTGCGCCACCACCTCCCGGCCGAGTATCTATTTTTTAAAGCATAGACAGACAATTGTAATTATTCCTAATTTGTAGGTTTTATATAAGAATGAGTATCTTTTTTAAAAAAAAAAGTATAGACAGACACACACACACAGGGGAGTAGGAAAGAAAAATCTAAAAATAAAATTAAGAAGACAATTTGTTGTATAAGCAAGTCAAAAAAAGAAAAGATGAATGATGCCTGGTGGGTGGTCAGAAGGGCAAAGAACCACAAACTAAATTATTCATGAAGTTGGGCATGGTGACTTGAGTCCTGCAATCCTGCATTCAGAAGTCTGAGGCAGGAGGATCACCCATGAGTTTGAGCCTAACCTGTAAAAAGTGAGTTATAGGTCATCCTGAGGTACAAAGTAACACTGTCTAAAAAAATAAAAAATAAATTTAAAAAAAAGCCAGGTGTGGTAGCACAAGCCTGTAATGGCAGCATTTGAGAATGGAATCAGATCAGGAGCTACATAGCAAGTTCAAGGCCAGCTTCAGCTACCCGACCCATCTCAAAAAATAAAAGTTTAATTACTTGTTTAATTATACTATGTATAATCAGAGTAACAACCACCTAACTTTTAGCTATAATTAAAGGAGTACTCAGTTTTAGACTCCCTGCTTAGGCACAAATGAAGGCTTTGAAAATTTCAGAATTATAAAGATAAAAAGGTTAAAAAACCAAGTGAAGAAAAATCCAAATGGTTATTGTGCCTAAGAGAATACCAAGAGTGACTCAAAGCCCACAAGGCCATGAAGAATTAGCCATTTCAGTGAGCAGCTGGTCTAAATTACCACAGCAGGTGATTTTGCTGAAATTACTACACCAAGCATTTCAACATAGACGTGTCTCACCTAGGATACATAGCATAGAAAATCCTGTGAAGCCTGTTCATCTCTCCCACCTTTACTAGCTCAACTTCTCATCTCCAATAGGTCAAAGGGCAGGTAAGGCATCTTTGGAATGTTAAGATGTAGGCTTCTTTTAGGTCTAGCTATGTGTAAGATTTGTTCTTAGCCTCTCTCTCCTAGAAGCCAATATGAAGTTGAATCTTTCTGAGCAATGAAAAAAAGGGACTGATTAGTAGTAAACTAATGGATGGGAAAAAGGACTTGGATTTAAGGTTCTTAGAGGACCTAGTGACTATGTTTAAAATGGCCAATTTTCCTCCAAAAAGAGAAAATTGAACTTGTTGAAAATTAAAATTAATAATAAAAGGAAATCACCCATACAATGCTATCACCCAGAAGGCAGAGACAGGAGGATCACAAGTTCCAGGCAAGCATGGGCTACAAAATGAAACCTGTCTCAGATAAGAGAATAAGTAGGGAAAGGGGATAATTAATTAGCTATCGTGAACCTCATCTTTCATATTTACCTCTCATTTTTGTCTTATGTATAGAGCTCTTGAATCGTGAAGTCTATGAAGAAATAGAATGTACTCACTCATCTTACTTGTACTTTGATTACCCTACCCTATACCTACCTAGCTGAATACTAGCGATCTAAAACATTGTTCGTTCTTTATTTTATAGCCACCTTTTCTAGTTATTCTCCAGTTCATCCTGCAATACTGCTGCCTATGAAGGCTGGATCTCTTGATCACTCCTTTCCTTTATCTCACAGAAATACCTATTCTTCCTACTCCCTCAGAAATCTTTTATTCATCTCATTCTCTAATGATCAAAAATTTCTTAACTTCTTTACTTCAGCTGACTCTTCTATTTAAAACCAAATATCACTCTCAGGTCTCTGTAATGTCCTCATCTTTTGAACACATCATTTTCTATACCATTGTTTCATTTTAAAATAAATGAAAAGTAGGTTTTCTAGGGCGACCAGGTTGGCCTCAAATTCACCATGTAATAAAGGCTGGACATGAACTCCTGATCCTCCTGCCTCTACCTCTCACATGCTGGGATTACAAGCATGTGCTATCATGTCCAGCTCTAAAACTATCTTTAATTTACCAAATGACAAGATTCCTACCTCCCTCATCCCAACCTTCCTGGAACCCTTCTGTACAAGACCATATTAGTTAGATGAAAACACAGACCCATCAGAAATTCTCAGGATTTCACCCACCTTTCTGTCTGCATCAAATCTGTTTGAAAAACAACACAATGAAGCAACATCAAATGAGGTAAAAGGACAATGAAAGAAACTGTTGTTGATATGTGGGTGTACCAGAGGATGGGTCTATATGTATGTTTCTGTTATAACACATTACATATGCATATATAATAAACACACATAAATACATTCAACTCAAATTAGCAAAACTCCACAAACATAAAAATCAGATCAGCTAAATCTGACCTAAACCACAGATATTATATGGCTACTTCCTGGAAGGAGATGCATTATCTATGTGACAAAGTCAGTTGTAAGTTACAGGAAACTATAGGTAAACTACTATAAGCAGCCTGGATTCTGCTTTTCTGTAATGTTATATAAATGCAAAGCTTAGTCATCACCTCAGGACAATGGCCATGTTGCATGACTTCTACACAATACCCAGCATGCGCTCAACACTGGGAAATAGTAAATTTACAACTTAAGGAGGAAAACGGAGGCTTGCTTCACAGTGGTTTAATATGAACAGAGTTGAATATGACATTGTCTGACAGAAGAATGAACAGTTTGCTGAATAAATGCCCCGAGTCAGGATATATACACAGCAGAAATGGGGCCTCAGAGTCTCAGCACTTGTGCACAATGAAAGAAGAAATATTTTAAAAAATATCTGTAACAGAGGATACAAATCAAAAGGCAGCAAGGACATGGACACTGGTGAAGTGGGAAAGGGGCTGCTCAGCCCCCAGCATGGGCTCAGCAGCTAGAGAGCTAATCTATCTCAAGGATCTTCAACACTGAGATGGGCTCCAAGACCCATGTCAAAATCTAATCCTGATCTCTCTGACCAGGATCACACCAGGATCAGCAATCCTTTTCCCCAAGGACCTACATAGAAAACACAATTCCTTCCATGATAGGGAGTCTAAGCCAAGAGTCCCAACTTTTATCTGGCACCAGAGTTAACTTGCTCTCATCCCACCATTAGGACTGACAGCAGGTCCCAGCAAACAAGCCACCACCTTCCAAACAATAGCCTAGAGAGTTGCCAGCCTCAAGAAGCTGCTTTCGCCTCTAAGATTTGGGAACTGTACATCTAGCTGCTAGCCCTATTTCAGTTTCTGGGAACAACACTAGAGTTCCATGGGAAACAAGTACAGGCAGTTCAATAACCCTGTGACCAAGCTGGGGAAGGCGGCAGACAACTCTTGCCTCTGAGCCCCATTCAACAGCTCAAAGTGCTTAGGAGCAATCAGAAACTGTGGTGTGTGTGCTTCTGCCCTTGGGACAGCACTAAATGAGATAGGAAAAGGAGGAATGGAAGGAGGAAAGTGATGTTGCTCTTCCTTACCACGTAGAGGAACCTAGAACATGACCCCTCCACCATTCTGGAAGTGACCTGGCAGTGGTAAGTTGCTCTTATTCCTCAAAACCTACAAAGCTAACCCATAAAGTCACAAGGGTTGAGGAGGGAGGATTGCTGGCCCATTCTGACTAATTAGCTAGTGAGCAAAATATAGACAGCCAGAGTAGGGAGCCATAAAGGGATAGGGGCTAGGCAATAAGAGCAGCCTACTACCCTATGGCTTTCTTGACTCTGCAGTAACCATGATGATGGGCCCATAAAACCCATACACCCTGTTCCACATATCAGACTGCTTAACTCTATGAGGATTACTGCCGTGAAAAGCAACAAGGGAGAAAAAAACAACCAAAAAAAATTGCTGAGAAAACTGGGAGCAGGCCTAGAACAAACAGTAAGTTTTGGGTCTCTACTACCTTCCCCCCTAAAGGAAAATTTTCATGCAGGTAGGAAAAGCAGAGATTCTCCCTATTCAGTGTTCCTGGTGAAACCTAAGAATAAGAAAAAGCCCCTAGACTTGCAGCATCAGTAATATATCCCAGTGCCTCACCAGCACAAACCCCCCTCCCCCCCAAGGTTAGCCTTCTGGCATGGGTAAAATACCCAAAAATTGCCTTCCAGTCCAATCCCTCCCCCACCCCACCCCAAGCAAAGAGCATCTGCCTGTGGTTTCCCACCTCTCTTCAGAGAAGAGATACTAGCAGAGTGCCCACATGGTGTAGTCTGGTACCAAGGGGCACAATGCAAGACGGTCTATCAGGCCAGGGGATGGGCAGCCAACTTCAGATCAAAAAGAGAGAGAGGCTTAGTGTAAAAATCAATGTCATTTCAGCAGATAAAGTAGAGGGCAAGTGGTGAGAGGGACTCCTACTGGCGCACCTTCCCAGGGACGTAGTTCCTATCAATTGCCTCCTCCTGCAGGAACATGTGTAGACAGCGTTCATTCTGAGCCAGTGGGTGCCCAGCAATTCTATAAAGAGACCAAAATGGTTATCAGTAGTTTCCGGGATCAGAGAGAATTGGCAGGGGAATAGGAATATGAAGAGAGGAAAAAGGGCATGATCAGCCTTAGGTTTGAGCCTCTAGGGGACAGCAGTGGGGTATAACCTAAACTGTAACATTGTAGAAGGGAAATTGAACAGAAGGACAGGGTAGGGAAATTCTAATTAAAAGGGTTAACATGCATTACATTCTCAGGCTTTGACATACAGGATCAGAATTTATTCACAGGAATGGAGTTTAACTATCCAGTTTGCCCACTACATCATACTACCTATTACAAAAAGACAAAGTAGAAAAAAATATAAAAAGATCATGATAGGATGAGAGTATAATAGCTTAGAGGTAGAGTGCTTGCCTAGCATACACAAGGCCCTGGAATCACTCCCCAGCAAAAAAGGAAAGAGGACAGTATGGAACAAAGGAGGAAGGGGGAGGGGGAGAAAAATGGGGAGGGAGGGAAGAAAGTTCGTGATGGCAAATAGAGTAAGCAGGGCAGTCAGGAAATCGGCTTACTTGTTAATAAACTGTTCGAGGCCCTGCCTCCTTTCTTCAATGAAAGATTCCTCAAAGATCCCTTCATCTCCTCGAAAAGGGAGCTGCCGCTTCAAGGCTTTCCCAGGCAGTGGTGGTACTACAATCTGTAGTCAAATAGCAGCCCAGTTGGAGAGGGCAAGAAAGAAAAAAGCAAATGAGACTGAGACAGTAAAGTAAAAGGCTCTCCAGTGCCTGCTTGCTTGCACTCTCTCTCCCTTTCCCCGCGCCCCGCCCCTCTCTCTCTCTCTCTCTGTGCCTCCCTCCACCTCCCTTCCTCCCTCTCCGTCCCCCTCCCCTCCATGGCTGCAAGGTGGCCTCCAACTGTGTATATAACCAAGGATGACCTTGAACTTCTGATCCTCCTGGCTTCACCTGCCAGGTAAACTGTGTATCTCAATTCTTTTAGGCCTGGGATCCACCATGCCAGGTTCAGCTAAGACCTTAGAACAGTAAAGATGGCTCATATGGATCCAACTTGATTTCTGTAGGACAGATTTACCATCTCAAAAGAAAGGAAGTAAAGTTCAAGCACTCTTCACTTTCTTTAACAGTCCAGCACCATCCAAGCATTTAGCTAAGCTTTTCTTGACACATTTTTGCACTTATAGGAGTTTACTAACTTTACAAACAACAGAACAATAGTTAAAAATATTGTTCATGAGGCTGAGGAAATGGCTCATCAGTTAAGAGCATTGGCTGCACAAGCATGAGGACCTGAATATGGACTCCAGGACCCAAACAAAAAAAGTCCAGCTGAGGGTGGAGGGTAGAGACAGGAGGATTGCTGGAGATTGCTTGCCTAGCTCCAAATTCAGTAAGAAGCCCTGTAAAATGTGAGAGGTAGATAAAGCAGGACACACAACTTGCTCCTCTGTCCTGCATGTGCCCTTGCACCATATACCCCTCCTACACACACACTTTTAAAAATAATACAGTCAGCCAAGCAGTGATGGTGCATGCCTTTAATCCCAGCACTTGGGAGGCAGAGGCAGGCGTATCTCTGAGTTCAAGGCTAGCCTGGTTTACAGAGCTAGTTCCAGGACAGCAAAGGCTACAAAAAGAAATCATCTTGCAAAAACAACAACAACAAAATACCTGTCCTACGGAGGAGTAGATGGGGGGGAGTAGAAGGGAGGTGGGGCAAAGGAACAGGAGAGGAGGGGAGGGGAAACTATGGTTGATGTGTAAAATAAATTTTAAAAATTTAATAAAAAAACTATTCTAAATCTCTTTCAAGATTCAAAGGGTATTCCCCCAGGACCAATACATTGGGATTCAGTCTATAAGAATGTGTTCACCCTTCCTACCTACTTCAAGACTTTACGAGCTGTGATCTTATACCCTCTGAGCCTATGCAGATTGCTTCCTCCAATGGTACTAATTAGGGATGAGCTGTACCTTACTATCTCGCTCCAGCTCATTTTTCAGCCACTCAAAGTCACTGTAGCGTCGCCGTACACAGGATTCTTTCAGCTTGAAGATGGGTAGGTTTGTCTACAGGGAAGGAAGAATGAAGAGAAGCCAGGTGTTGTGACACTTACTTTTAACACACACAAGGCTGAGGCAGAACAATCAGCATTTTGAGGCCAACATAGGCCACATAGGGAATTCCAGATCAGCCTGGGCTATATAGTGAGACCCTATCTCAAAAATAAAAACTGAAAACAGGCAATAAGTTCTGTTCAACCAACCTGTGGGGACCACCTGTCAGAACCACTGGAAAAGTCTCAATGAAGAAACAGTTCCTCTGGGACTGAGGATATAACTCAGTGGCAGGGCATTTGCCTACTCTCTATGAGCACCAGAGTTTGACTCCCAACATCACAAAAAAGAAAACTTGTTCCTATGGACCATATACCTAAAACTCTTCCAAAACACCACCAGGTATATATTAACCCTTACCATACCCAATTAACAGAAGTCCCTTGCTGGGGCTGAAGGGTAGCTCAGAGGTAGAGCACTTGCCTAGCATGCTCAAGGCTCTTGGTTCCGCCCCACAAACACACACATAAAATCCTTTGCTACTTAAAATTTATCTTAGAGAAGACTCACAGTCATGTTCTAATGTACATTATACTGGTAAATCATGTTATTTGAGCTCAGATGGGTTCCCCACCCCCATTTCATGCCCACACATGTTTGTCTCAAAGTAGTCTCAAAGGCCCCATCCGGGGATTTGTTCCCTTCCTATCTCTGTGATACAGAGGGAAGAGAACAACAAAACACTCCAACAGTAAAAACAGTCTTTGAGAACAACTAGAAGGTAAACCATTTCCAACAGATGTTTATCCCATGATATAAAAATGCCTGCAGTGGAAAAAAAGCTGAAGCTCACTCATGGGAAGCTCAGCCATGGAGAAAATGCTCAATCAGGAACTCCAGCTGACTGCCTAACTTCCTGAGATGGTTTCTGCTGGACCTTAGGGATGCCTGATTTGATGATGTTACCTTTCTGTTGCTGTTTGTTCTTTTACTTGGAAGCCTCAACCAAGGGAACACTCTGCTGTCTGGGACTCTCTGTTTGGGAAACTCCAGCTGGCTGCCTTAAAGGCACTTTCCCAGTCAGTTTCTGCTGGATATCCTGACTTGATAATGTTTTGCTATCTGTCTATCTCTTGCTATTTATTCTTTTACTCTGACTTGTCACATAATTAAACTTACTCATTCAAAATCAAAAGTATGGCTATTTCAGATCATTCTCTAGATCTCCAAGACATGCTTCTCTCTGCTTTCCTATCCCAATCTTTCCTGTAAGTCCTAGTTCAATTCTCACTTAATTCAGAAAACTTTTCCTGATAATATCAGCTGGGTATATTGTGGTCTACCTCCTCCTTGATCCCTTCTGACATTATACTTTTCTTGAGACCCTGTCTCTAGCCTAGGCTGGCTTCTAACTCTCTATGTAGCTGAGGATAACCTTGAACTTTTGTCTTCCTGCCTCCTTAGGAAATTACAGGGGTATACCACCACACCCAGTTCATGAAGTGCCAGGCATCAAACCCAGGGCTTTAGACATGCTAGGCAAGTATTTAACAACTAAAATACACCCACATCCCCATTTCTAAGGATGATCTTGAACTTCTGATCCTTCCATCTCTACAGTTTATAAAGCGTCACATTACTAGGTTTTCTTCAGATGTTTTATGCATCCTGTATGTTGTCTACATGACTAAATGATAATCTTAAGATCAACTACCTGACTGTGCATGGTGGTGTGTCCCTTTAATCCCAGCACTCAGAAGGCAGACAGGCAGATCTCTGCTGAGTTTGAGACCAAGTCACTACATAGAGAGTTCTAGACTAGCCAGGACAACATAGTGAGACAGTCTCAAAGAAAAAAAAATCAACAATCATGACAACTTTTGCTTTTCCCAAAATGTAAGGTACCAATACTCAATTACTCAATAGAAACTAGAATGAATCTAGTTACCCCTTTCACCTAAAAAATGCAGAATGAAAGCCGGGCGGTGGTGGCGCACGCCTTTAATCCCAGCACTTGGGAGGCAGAGCCAGGCGGATCTCTGTGAGTTCCAGGCGGATCTCTGTGAGTTCGAGGCCAGCCTGGGCTACCAAGTGAGTTCCAGGAAAGGCGCAAAGCTACACAGAAAAACCCTGTCTCGAAAAACAAAACAAAACAAAAATATTCTTAAAATGCAGAATGAACAGCCTTTAAGTAAGTTAGCTTTCTATAGCTTACTCATTCCTACATCTTAATCACTGAGAAGACTCCTTGGGCTCTAGTGGTAAAGGAACTTCTAACATATTAAAAAGCCCATCAAAAAAACAAAAAAAAAAGCTCAAATCTTCATTCCTGTCTACAAGTTCTAAATGAAAATGGTCAAATACATATATTAATCTCGACTGTATTTCTTGCCAGCCAATTCAGAGCAATGGGTGGGGAATAATAGGAACTACCTCTTTCTTCTCAACACAACTGCCTCTTGGCAAAAAAGGGGTATCTTGGAGTTCTTGTAGAGCCTCACATGGTCCTTACTACCTTAATTTTTACAGTCCCCAAGTCTTGAAATTGCCTCCCCAGCCAATAACTGGCCAATTCTACCCAAAATCTTCAAGGTTCAAAAAATATCAATAAGTTTAAATGGAGTCTGATATACATAACATTTTGTCATCTAAACTAAAGAATGAGTTTTCTTCAGAGTGTGGCCCCAGGTATGTCTACAATGCTCCAGCGGATGGCCTCATACCCAGAAGTATATGGGCAATACAAACTGGACTGGATGGCTTGCTTTGGTTTTTAAAGAAGACTCAAAAGTTGGAGAGAGAGGGAGGTGGAAATGGATCAGGAAGGAATTAGGAGGAGAGTAGGAGTGAATATGGTCAAAATTCATTGTATGAAATTCTCAAAGAACAATTTTTTTTTTATTTTTTGGTTTTCAAGACAGGTGTAGTTTTGGTGCCTGTCCTGGATCTCACTGTGTAGACCAAGCTGGCCTTGAACTCAGAGATCCACCTGGCTCTGCCCCCTGAGTGTTGGGATTAAAGGCATGCACCACTGCCGCCCGGCAAAAATATTTTTTAAAGGAATAAACAAGTAAGTAAACATGGTGGCAAAGATCTGTCATGCCAGCACTTGATAAGTGGAAATAGGATGGTCAGTAGTTCAAAGTCATCCTCAGCTACCCAGTGAGACAGTGAGTTTGAGGCCAGCCTAGGCTACATGAAACTCAGAAAACAACAACAAAAAATAAGAATAAATAAGAAACTGGAGGCTGGTGAGATGACTGGGCAAGTAAAGGTGCCTGAATCTAAATCTGACAACCCGAGTTCCATCTCTAGGACCCATATGGTAAGAGAGAACCAAGTCCTGCAAGTTGTCCTCTGACATGTGCTGCAACCCTTCCCCTGAACACAAGATAAATACAAATATAATTTCAAAAATTTTAAGGGCTGGGCAGTGGTGGCACATGCCTTTAACTCCAGCACTCGGGAAGCAGGAGCAGGCAGATCTCTGTGAGTTCAAGTCCAACCTGGTCTATAGAGTGAGTTCCAGGACAGGCTCCAAAGCTACACAGAGAAACCCTGTCTCACAAAATTCAAAAAAAAAAAAAATTTAAGGGACTGGAGAGATGGCTCCATTTTTAAGAGCACTTGTTCTTACAGAGGACCCAGGTTCAATTCCCAGCATCCATGTAGTAGCTCACCACTATCCATAACTCCAGTTCCAGGATGCACATGATACATAGACATATGTTTGAGCAAAACACTCATACACATAGGATAAATAAATCTTTCTTTTTTTTTAAGTTTTTAATTTAAAAACTGTCTTTTTATGGGCTTTGTTTGACTGAAAACAACAACAACAAAAAACTATTCCTTCCTTACCCCCAAAGGATGCTGAAAATATTGTCCTTCCATCTCAGCACTTAACCATCTAAGAAAAAAGCTACTACATAGAAGGCTAGTCCCTGGGCTCCAAACTACAAATCATATGAGGAAGCCAGAATTGTATAATACAGGATATTGAGGGTTTAGGGGTTCTGCTCAGCACAAAATAAAGTAAAAGGACAGAAAAAAATCAAGTCCACATTGATACATTCATATGAACCAGGTGGTGGTGGTGCATGCCTTTATTCCCAGCACTTGGGAGGCAGAGGCAGGCAGATTTCTGTGAGTTCAAGAACAGCCTAGTCTACAAATTGAGTTCCAGGACAGCCAGGGCTATGTAGAGAAACCCTGTCTAGGAAAAAAAAAGAAAGAAACATCCATATGAATATGTATAATGATGTGAGGCCACCATAGCACCTCTCCAGACTCCTCAGGCAGGCAGGATCTATTTCTGAATAAAATTAAAGAGAATAGCTTCATCAATATTTATTATATGGAGCTGAAGCTGTAGATCAATGGCAGAGTGTGTGCTCAGCATGCATGAGGTCTAAATTAAATCCCCAGCACCAAAAAAAAAAATACAAACGATTTTAGATATTTTTACAAAAACTAGAGTTCAATAGAACAGTAAAAGCCTCAAATCAACTCAAACCCACAGAAAGAAGAACCACCGTCAACTCTATCAACATTACATAGCTAGAACTGTGGAAGGGACTGACAAAAAAGCTCAGTGTACATTTTGCATACTAAGTTTTGCAACTAAGCCTTAACAAAGTAGTGGAAAGAACATGGACTTTGGAATTAGAGACTTGGTTTCAAATCCCAGCCCTATCCAATACTGTTAAATGCACTTGGGAAAATTACTTAAACTACATGCTTTCCTGATTTCTACTTTTTAAAAATGCATACAGAAACTAAAACCTACTCAGGCGTACCGACACACACCTTTAATCCCAGCACTCAGGAGGCAGAGGCAGAAGCAGAGGCAGGCAGATCTCTGAGTTGAAGGCCAGCCTGGTCTACAGAGTGAGTTCCAGGACAGCCAGGGCTACACAGAGAAACTCTGTCTCAGAAAAAAACAATGAAAAGAAAAGAAAAGAGAAGAGAAGAAAGCTAAAACCTAGTTTGGTGCCTGGCTCATTGTAGGGACCAGATGGATGGTCTCTGTTATAAGAATACCTAAAGAAGAGAATGATTTCCTTACTAATCCTTAAGGCTCTTATACATCTAGACAAAATCTCCAAAACCCTAAAAGTAGTCTTTATACTGAACAAGTTATACTTAGGTTCCCTTGAGTAATTAAGCCTTCCTCCATTAACACTTCTCTTTTATCATAGTTTAAAGAATGTAAATCCATGCTTCTCCAAAGAGATCATTTCAAATGGTCTAGTCTCCACAAGACAAGCAAGCATTCCTCATGCTGCTATCACTTTCCCCCCTCAGTTTGGAGAGTACCATTTCTCCCCTAAGACTGTCAAGCATTCTCATTCAATTCTTCTAAAAAATGAGAGCACCATATGTCTCTTGGCTCTTCAATGCTATTCAAGTGGGATGCTATTCACAAAGAATATCCTTGATCTCCAAACTGAAAAGAAAACACAAGGAAAACTAAAAAATAGTTCCTAATTTTTTTAAACCTGTACCACTTCAACTGGGAAAAAAATACGTGTGAGCCATGTACTCTATCTGCACATCTGCACATTCCATCCCTGCACGATGGACTAAGAGAACAAAGTCCCCTGGGGTGCAAACTGGAAGAAGCCATGCCTAGAGCCGTTCTGAAATGTCATGTATTAAAGTAACTACAGACTAGGGACAGAAAAAGCAAATGGCCTTTTACAAAAAAAAAAAAAAAAAAAAAGTGAGAGCCAATAAAATCTGAAGTAAACATTCTGCATTCTGGATACTTCAAATCTAAAGGATCAGTAGAGGATGGGAGCAGCAACTGACAATCCACCAATCCCAGTGCAGGGCCGGGTTTCACGCAAGACACGGCATTGTGGTACCTAAGAAACTTAAGCATAAAACATTTCTCTCTTTCAGATGTAAATCTTAGACAAGTCAGCAAAGCATTCAGTCTCAAGACTGCCTTTCTACTTCTGCTCTTTCTCACAAGCCCACTGTCTCTCTTTCCGGTAGTCTTTCCTAGAACTAAAGGTTTGCTTAACTCCATCATCCCAGAGAGCTCTCCTTAGGAATTAGCCCAGCCTTCCCACCGCCCCCCCCCTTTAGAATGACTTCCATAACCTAGTTTAGTTGTGGGACCCAGCGATCCATCGCCTTGGCTTTCCATCCCCCAGCCTTCTTCCACCCTCTCCTTTCGTCCTTCTGTCAATCATGATTCCACTCTACTTGAATTCCTCACTAATCTTGGTCCATCTTCCACACCCTGTCCAGCCCTGCTTCACTTCTGCCTCGTGAGTACTTGTTTTCCTTCACCCCCGCCCGAAGTCCCCTCTGGAGTTTTCTGAACCCTCAGGCCACAGCTGAGGCTGCAGCCTTCCCTCCAACCCTTTCAAGCCCTCACCCTCACATGACCCCCTCCCAGCTTCCCCGCCTTTAGTCGTCCCCATGCCCCCTCCCCTCCCGCGTCGTCCTCCCTCAGCTGTCTCCCTCACCCCGTGACTCACCCGCATGCGAACCTCATAGGTGGTGAAGCGCGCGCGGCCCACGCCCACCGTCTGTGGATTAAAGATGTCTATCTCCAGGAAGTTACTTGGCGGCCCGTAAGCATCGGTCAGGTCCTGAGGCTTCGAGTTAAGGCGCCGAGTGTCAGCCACTGCCGTGTCCGACATCTTTCCTAAGAAGAGACCGGTACCGGCGAAGGGGGTGGGGGACAGAGGCCTGAGGCAGGAGCGCGCACGGCCCCTCCCGCTTGCAAAATAACCAGCCAACCCACAGACAGCGGCGACGCGCACGCGCGCACGCATGCGCGCACGCACACGCCGCCTGAGTCTCGGCCCGTCGCCCTGAATAGCCGCCATGCTGACTAGGGCTTGTACCTTATGGTGAAAGCGTCATTCAGACTTCCGGGTGGTACTGGTAGCTGCCCCGGAACCTGCATCTCTAATATTCCCTGTCCAACATTTTGAGAAGCACCACACGCAGGCTCCGCCAATCTGTGTTCCTCAGTCCCAGAAATTGTCTCATCCCGTGCATCAATCAGCAGTGGGCACTGCCCTGCGAGCTATTATCCTAAGGTGTTAGACTGAAACCGCAGGTCCTGAGTAAGTCCGGATTTTCCATGAAAATAGAAGGATGGTTTCTGGAAGGTGAGGTTCCAACAACAGTACCAGAAACGTAGAATGCAGCCCCACTACTTGTGCCACTCACAGTTTCAGTTCACGCTACACACAATTGAGCATTCGGTAAGCAATACATTGTAAGTGCCAGGGAAGCAGCAGACGCGAATTGGGTAAACAATAATGATTTCACGTTCTCGCTTTTCAGGAATAGTGGGTGTGTCTTCATTTTCCACATGTTGCTTGATATAAACTAATTCCAGGTGTACTCAATTCTTTAATTTCAGGACGTTTATTCCATAACTTTTGTCTACATTCTGAAGAACCCCATCCATACTCGGCTACGCTCCGAGCTTGCTTGCAACCTATGATGAACACATATGTCTACATGAGAACATCTATAGAAAAACATATATACATACCTGTAAAATGTATTTGCACATATGTACACGCTGAGACAGAGTCTTATATTTATCCCAGCTGGCCAGGAACTTGCTTTGTAGGCCAGGCTAACCTCAAACTTGTAGCAATGCTCCTGCTGATTCCCCTTGATTTCTGGTATTACTGGTCTCTGTCACCATGTCCAGCTAGAAATATTATTTGTAGTTGTTTTTATAGTTGTGAGACATTGTCTCATTTTCAAGTTTGTTTTCAAACTTGCTTTGTATCTGAGAATGACTTTGAACTTCTGACCCTCCTGCTTGTATCTCCCAAATGCTGGGATTACAGGCATGCCCCACTACACCCAGTTTTGTGCAGTACTGGAGATCAAATCCAGGGTCTATCAAATAAGCTATATCCCCAGTCCTTAAATATACTTTTTGTTGTTGTTTTTTCGAGACAGGGCTTCTCTGTGTAGCCCTGGCTGTCCTGGAACTCTCTCTGTAGACCAGAGTGGCCTTGACCTCAGAGATTCCCCCAGCCTCTGCCTCCCAAGTGCTGGGATCAAAGGCATGCGTCACCACCGCCTGGCTAAATATACATTTTTTTTAAAGACTGATTTTTATGCATGTCCCATATTTTTAAAAATTATTTATCTTACTGTTATTTTAATTTTTAAATAAGTATTTCTTATGTGTCTGCATATTTGTCCATGAACCATGTGCGTGCTTTGCCCAAGGAGTCCAGAAGAGGATTTCAGATGCCCTGGACCTTATGTTACAGATGGTTATGAACCACCATATGGGTCCTGGGAATTGAACCCAGGTCCTCTGCAAAGAGCATCCAGTGCTCTTAACCACTGAGCCATCTCTCTAGCCCTACATGTCCCATATTAAGGGGTAGACAAGTGGTAATTTTAGGTCATTTTTCCTTCTCCCTTCACCTGACCTCCTTTTCTAAAAAAAAAAAAAAAAAAACCACAAACCTCATATCACTGATGACTAAATTCTTTCAACAAAGCACAAGGGCTTACAATTTGACAATTAAGTAGTTATTTAATTCAATATAACTGATATCTATAAATTACTTATGTGCCAAGCACTGTGCTAAATTTCCTTTTTTTGTTTTGTTTTGTTTTGGGAGGGTTTTTTTGGGGGGTGGGGGGACAGGGCTTCTGTGTAGTCCGGCTGTTCTGGAACTGGCTTTGTAGACCAAGTTGGCCTCAACTGGTCTACAAAGAGATCTGCCTGCCTCTGCCTCCTGAGTGCTGGGATTAAAGGCATGCACAACCACAGCCAACCATGAGTTAGCTTCCTAAGCAGAGACAGGTAAACAAAACTAATGCGTTCAAAGTAGCAAATAGAATCTATGTAACTAAACTGGGCATGCTAGTACATGCCTATGATCCCCGAAACTGGGAAGTAGACATAGGAGCTTCAGGAATTCAAGGCCACCCTCTACTACACAGCATTTTCGAGACCAGCCTGGGCTACAATGGGACCCTGTTTCAACAAAACAAAATAAAAAGACATATATATTTGGGGAAATTGGGGGAAACTTCCTAGAGGTGGACACATCAGAGTTTAACACATGAAAAGGCATAAAGGATGGGAGCTGGAGAGATGGCTCAGCAGTTAAGAGCACTTACTGTTCTTGCAGAGGACCTGAGTTTGATTGCCAACATCCACACAGTGGCTTCTAACGCCAGTTCCGGGAGATCCACTCCCCTCTTCTCACCTCCTCGTGCACCAGGCATACTTGTGATGCAACACTCAGATACACAAAATTTTTAGATCTTTTTTAAAAACTTAAAGGCATACAGGAGAAATAATGGAAATGGGGAAAGGCAATTTCTGGCGCAGGAAATAGCATATTTAAAGGCATTGCAGGAAGAAACTCTACAGTATTTTTAGGCAATTATCACCAATTCAGACTGTGTCATGGAAATGTTTTGAGATGGAGGGTGTCTGGGGATGGGCAGAAGAGAGTGAGCCCTCTATATTAAGCGGAGTGGCCCTGACTTTATGATAGGTGACAGGGAGCCCCTGAAGAATCTTAAAAGAGATGAGAAGGGTATGATCCTATGTGTGTTAGAGAGACTATTCTGCGAGTGACGTGGGAAATGGATTTAAGTTGGATGTGACTAACTTTGAAGGAAGCAACAGTGAGAGTGATGAGGGCTGGAGAGATGGCTCGATGGTTACGAGCGATGACTGCTCTTCCAGAGGACTTGGATTCAGTTCCCGGCAGCCACGCTGGGGAGCTCACAACCTGAGGTAACTTGAGCTCCAGGAGTTCTGAGGTCTTCTTCCCGTCTCTGTGGGCACTTGCATGGTGCATATACAGAGAAGCAGGCACATACACATGCACATACACATACACATAACACATTTTTTAAAAGGTAAAGGAAAACATTATGGGAGAATGAATTAGGGTTTATATTAGATATGGTGATGATACAGTATAGGACTTAATTAAATATGTGAGCCATGATTGAGACTGACTTGATTTAAATCCCTGCTCCCTATCTGTGTAACCTTGAGTAAACTGTACAAAGTTTTTCTTATCTGTACAATGGAAATAAAATTAAAAGCTACCTTTGTAGCTGTTGTGAGAATTGAATGAAATAAAATATTATATGTGCACAAAGTACTTGTTGGTAACTATTCACTATTGTTACTATTTGGAGAGGGAGGAAGGGGAGGGAATTGAAAATGACCCCCGGTTTTCTGACCAGGCACCATCAATCACCATTGGAATTACAGAAAGAGGAGTACATAGAGGAGGAAAGAAAATGAGTTCAGTTCAAATAAATCAAAGTTATTTGGAAGACATGCAGGTGTCGATGTCCAGCTGGCAGCTGAAAATCCTTGCCTGGTGCTTGAGGGCATGATGAGGTTAGAGGTAGAGACTTAGGGATCATCAGGATATAGTGCAGATAGAGACTTAGGGATCATCAGGATATAGTGCAGATAGAGACTTAGGGATCATCAGAATACAGTGTACAAAGAAATATGTGGGGAAAAACAGGACAGATTTAAAAACTAGTGAGATGATACCGTTTGGATGGGAGTGTGAATCCCTACAATCTTTCTGGGAAACAAATTGGCTATGAGGATTTTTTTAATTCACTTTTTTTAAATGTATATAAAAAAGGAGTGGTCCCATGTGCAGTTTGGAAGAATAGTTTTTTGAAGCAGGGTCTAATGCAGCCCAAGTTGACTTGGAACTATTGATCTTCCTGCCTCTACCTCCAAAGTGCTGGGATTTCAGTAATGAGCTACTACACCTGGATAAAAACTTTTTAAAGGAGCCAGTCAGTGATGGTGCACACCTTTAATCCTAGCACTCAGGAGGCAGAGGCAGGTGGATCTCTGTGAGTTCAAGGCCAGCCTGGTCCACGGATCCTAGATCCAGGACAGCCAGGGCTGTTACACAGAGAAACCCTGTCTCAATAAAAGAAAAAAAAGAAAAGAAAAGAAAAAAATCTTTTTAAAGTAAAAAATTACTAGCCAGGCATGGTGGTGTACTCCTATACTCTCAATATTCAGAAAGGAGGAGACAATATTCAGAGGCAGGAGAATTATTGAAAGTTTGAGGCCAGCCTATGCTACTTAGCAAATACCAGACCAACCAGGGCTACATAACCAAACTGTCTCAAACACACCAAAACTAAAAGAGATGGGGAATGGGACCATGGTGGGATATTGGTGAAATTATTAAGGCCACTCCACGTAGTTAAAAGGGAGATTTATTTAGTGTAACTTACAAATGAAGGGATAGGTAGGTTACAGGGTCTGGGAAAGACGTAGCGCAGTCCGGTGTTCTCTGGAGAACTCAGCTCGGTCTAGCTCCAGCGTCCAGGGTCCAGGAACCAGGAGAGCCGGCCCCATCCGGATCTCGGGTCTTCAGGGTCCTCTCTCAGCCTCGCCTTGTAGGCATGACCATTACCAAAGCCTCAATGGGGGTGGTACTTACAGGTCAAAGCTGGAATGGCTACCCACTACATCATACATTTTGCTGGTCATGGTGGTGCCCATTATATGATGGTGGTGCACCCCTATAATTCTAGCCCTTGGAAGATAGCAGAAGGATCAAGAGTTTAAGAGCATGGCTGTGAATGTAGCTCAGTTGGTAGAGTGCTTGCCTAACATGCAAGAAACCCTCCCTGGGTTCAAACCCCAGCACAGGATTAAATTAGATGTGCTGCCCCATGCTTGTGATCCCAGAACTGAGGATGTGAAAGCAAGAAAATCAGAAGTTCAAGATCATCC